AGGCACGGTGGAGTAATGGATAGCGGCTTGGATTGAGCTGCTACTTTGAGGAACAGACTCACGGGAGGATGTTTCCCTGGTCGTTATAATCATAACCTCTTTGTCGAGGGTTAACTCTTATCTTTCCTACATATCCCCATGCAATTTATACTTCCTCTTACTCTACAATAACCTCAATCAGTACCCAGCTACCTTGAGTGGTTCTTGGACCTTGTATTGGTTAACAATTAGTAAAAAAAACAGTTAGATATATTGATATGAACAGAAGTATACAACTTGACCTGAATAGAGTTAGGTAACGAGACAACCATACAGTAACGGAGATAAATGTATAGATATATTATTACTACAATGAAAGTTTCCCTAGGTTTCAAACCCATCCCTGCCAAGAGCAATTAAAAACTATCATATGGCGTTGTTTTATGGGAAGAATGTGGAAATTTTTGGAATACAGCCGAAATACAGCTGGTTTTTTGTCTTTTTTTTTTTTTTTTTTCATGAGAGAATACTTTGATGGTTTCAGGGAAGGTTGTCATTGGACTAAGTTCGCATTCACAGCAGGAGTTTCTTACTAAATTGCAGATACAATGGCCTATGTATGCAAATGAGTTCCAAAGGAAGAAGATGGCATCGCAGGAGTCCGCCATTTTGTTTCTCGTTGTTCTACTTCAGTGAAGTATTTCATCGCCGATTTGTTGGATAATCGCGTGTAAAAGAAATATACTTGTCTCCTGATAAAAAAAAAAGAAAACCAATGGCCGAAGTGAGGCGTTGAAATATTCATTTTTTTTTTCTTTCTTTTTTTAATTTACAACGATAATGAAAACCATAATGACTTGAAGGTAATGCGGCTTTTATCTTAGAAAAAACACGGTGGAGTAATGGATAGCGGCGCGGATTGAGGAATCTGAGAGCAGAGTTCGAATTCCAGTCGAATCCATTACATTCACCACTTACGTGCTAATACCCTTGAGAAAGGTATGAACCCTCTTCTTCTCCACCCAGATATGGGTAAATAACAGGATAGACCGGGTTCTATAGCCTTGGGTGCCAACTGGTCTACCACAGAAAGAAATGACAACCTACTGCGGGAAAAATCTGCCTCGTTAGTTATGTATTGAAAGATACATATGATCGCCTACGCGTATATCACGCACGGCACATAACTGACTGACTGACGAATGTACTTAATGCTATAAAATTCGCTGCCATAATAATTGTGAGTTCAATCCCTGGAGGACATTGTGTACGTGGACTCAGTGGAAACGGAACATAAGAATTAGGCAAGATATCTCTAGACGTAGACACTAATGGAAAGAGAATTACCTACACCTGTTGATTAAATAAGGGGCCCAGTTAAGAATTCCCTGTGATCATCTAATAAATAAATATCTTATTTGATTGTGATGAGGAATATAGGAAAAAAACTTCTTTCCAAACCAAGTGCTAAACTCCTCTTTCATATCTAATCTCTAATCGCAGTGGATGCTGGGTAATCCCTTCACAGCTAAAAAAGGGACATGAAGCGATAAGGATTATTTTGATTGAATTTGTTTGTTTAATGTCATATCAACTCCTTATGGGTCATTTAATATCGAAATTTAATTTTCTTGTGAGCTTTGAAGTAATAAAAATATGATAAATGTTATTCTGTTTTCACAATTCAGTACATGGTAGATGATACTCAGCTTTTGTGCATGTAAATGTTTGTGTGGACATACTTATTAGAGGTGCTGATATGTGTACAGAGTGGTCCGAAAGTCTGGTCACCCGTAAATAATACAATTATCTATTTCAACGCTCTGTCGAATATTATCAAGGAGAGAATTTCACATGAACGATACCAGAATACACATCATTTTTATAATTTCAATAAAATATGATATACGTTATTCTGATTTCACAGTTGAATACATGGTAGATGATACTCAGCTTTTCTGCATGTACTTGCTTGTGTGAATATAATTAAGAGAAGCTGTGATATGTATGTTTATGTTGTAGTTCTGTTGAAGTTTTATTCTGGAATACAGTTTGATTTCTTTAAGAAATTTTCGGATATTATATGGATTAATGTCTTGAAAGAGTTTTTTTATGTTGTTTGGTTAATTTGTATGCCTTCAACTAAAGCTAAAATGTATGGTTGGTCATTTTGTTATAAAATGTATTGTTGGTCCATTTTTTTTATATAAAAATGTATTGCTAGTAATTTTACTATAAAAATGTATTTTTATGCTTTTATAGTATTTTGTTTTATTTTTGTTTGGGGGGTTCAATGTTCCCATAGCTGGGACCCTAACAGGTGTTATCATCCCTGTCAGGGTGGTCCTGGGAACAACAGCAATTGAGAGGTGGTTCCACGCTCCTCAAAACCTCCAATCTCTCGATCAGAGGCCTTAACGAAGAAAGAAAGCCTAGAGAATCTAACACTCACAGGGCGTACTGAAGGAAAGAGGAGTAAGAGAAAACGGTGAGTAACTTAACAAGTTCATGTGAATGGATAAAAATTGACTCCAAACAAGGCGATAATGCCACTAAGACGCATTGGGTTACTGGTGCTGAAAGAGAATGAAAAGACTTTAGAAGGAACCGGAAACCTAATCCTAAACAATTAACAAGGGATAAACCTCTACTTTTTTTAATCAATTCACCCCAAGAAAGGCGATAATGCAACTAAGACGCAATGGGGTTTGAAAGAGAATGAAAAAAAATTAGAAGGAACCAGAAACCCAATCCTAAACAAGGAACAAGGAATAAATCTCTACTTTTTTTTTAATAATTTCATCCCAAGAAAGGCGATAATGCCACTAAGACGCAATGGGTTACTGGGGTCGAAAGAGAATGAGAAGAGTTTAGAATGAACCAAAAACTCACTCTAAGGGATGGACTGCTACTCCTGTTGTATAAACGGGTAAGGAGTGTGAATCTAACGATAGGCAAACCTATCTACTCCAAACATTTAGAGCAATAAAAGAAAGGAAGTTGTGGAGAATCATGATCACTCATGTCTTGAAGGGGCATGGCGCAGAAAAGAAAAGAGAAAATTTGATTGATCCATTTTTTTTTAAATTTTGAAAATTTATTTTTTTCATTTTTTTAACTTTTACTTTAAACCAAATTTTGCATTAAATTTATATTGCTTGGGAACGACCGCCTGAAATTCACGCGGAGTTAACGTTTACAAATCTCGTTCATTAGTCAACAATATTTCAACGTTGGACGAGCTGACACTAAGTCGAACGACTTTTGCCACTAAGCTCTGACAAGATAGCATCCATAAGACAATAGCCAAACACCTAGTGAAATAATTACAGAATTAGCACGAACCTGGGTCCTTGGCACCTTTTTTATGTTTTCATTTAATTTTACATTAGAAATTGGCTTAAGAAAGAGAAACAGACACGGGATCAATTTCCCTGTTCAACATTAAAAAATAATGTTTCTTTCGAAGCACATGTGAAATGCTAAATTATAGACAATAGAAAAAGACGGCTTCTATGAAGTCGTTAATTTATTGGGCCATTAAAAGCGATTGAACATTACGTGGGCTGGAGTTGGCTAAGAAGCATAGACAGTGCGGGCTCTTCTCATCGTAAGGAAATAGTCAACAAGCTGTACACGTAAATCATTAGTAATGCGTTCGATCCTCACTGCGTGACTCATGCTTTTAGTCTTTTGCTCGAACAAGCCTAACTTTTAGAAAATAATAAAAAATAGCCCGAAACACGTGAAAAATCTGGGTTTTTAGGACAAAATTAATAATAGAGTAACTAGATATTTGATACTAAAAATATCCAGGATTTTATAAGCACAAGAATGTTTTGGCAACACGCTGACACGTGTTGAAATCTTCACAATATTTAGTATTGTTGAAGTTATCGCTGACATTTTTCTTGAGAGTTAAAAACCCTACATTTCATTCAGTTTCGTAAACCACTTGATGAAATTTGAATAAGTTGATTTGCTTGCAAAAATATCTTGAAAAAACCCCTACTTCGCGGTTTAATAATTTAATTTAATTCAATTTTATAGGACTTCATGACAAGTAATATTTTTAAGAAAATTTTTTTTTTCCTTTTTCTTTTTTAACAGCGAAGAATAAATTCTTAGAATTTCTTACTCCTGAGCATGCAACATGCAACTGGCCATACGGAAATATTTCTTTCTGAAGCCAAATTCCAATATTTTGAAGCATTGGTGTTGTGATTTATTTATACTTCTCGCAAACGAAGGGCGAACTGAAAACTGAATTCTTGTCTATATAAAAAGTTCTAGAAAAGATATGCAAAAAATCATATTGCATTTTTATTAAACAGGTATTTGTTATTTTAATCATTAAATTGTTTTTGTAAATAGTGGGAGTATTTTGTATGTTAAATAATAAAACTTTGAATTTTTCCAAAAATAATTAATGAAAAGATATGCACCAACTGTATTTTGTACCCTCTTACCTGTTTTCACTTCTCCCCAAAATATGGTTTCGATTGGTCAATATATGGCTATTTTAGAGGGTGTGACAGACTAACGGAAGTCATAGAATTTTATATATAGATGAAACGGGTGTGTTTTTCCCTATTTCAAGTTTTTTCTCGAATAAAGAACAAAACAATTAATCCCCAAATTCTTTCAACCCTTATTCTAAGCGGCATGATTCTTCAACTAAAACCCTAAACCTATTTCTAAACATTCTTTATTTAACCCTAAATACACACTAACATGCTTAATTATATCAGGCTGTAGGCGATCATGGCTCTCCACAGATTCCTTTTCTGTATCATTTGGGAATTGACATGACTTATTAGAAAAGGTAGTGGAACACTTTCTTATAGTCTTCTTCCCAGTCACAGCTAGAGAGGTCAGTCTACAATGTTATTTAAAGAATTGATGGGTGGAGAGAAGAGATAGATTCATGCCTTTTCCGAATGCATTAGTTCGGAAGTGAACGCAGTAGAATAGGACGAAACTTAAACTTGGTTCATCAATTCCACTTTCTCACGTTGATAATGCACGCTACCCGCCCATCTATCTATCTATCTATCTATCTATCTATCTATCTATCTATCTATCTATCTATCTATCCCAGTCTGTTCATTATCTCTCTCTCACTATAAATTCTCAATGACTCTATCAAGTAATTTTTAATCATGTCATCCAAGCAAGGCAATAAAGCCACTAAGACGCAAAAGTTTACTGACTGAGAATAAATAAGAGAAAATAAAACATTGTTAAGGAGAGAGAACAATAAAAGAACAAAAATTAAGAAGACAAAAGATAACGATTGATGTTGCATTTAATTTTTAAGAAAGGTCCACAAGTAAGAAGTGAGATAGAAGAAAATGTTAGCATAGAATTTACGGTTACATTTTGCCAATTCGACCGTAAAATGATGAGACCTAGCTGCCAATCTAGTACTGCGCTTAAATTTATAAGGTAGGGGAAAGTTCATCAGAACAATTACAATAAAATCATTTATAGAAAAGGCACAGAGAAGCTACATTACGATGGTGGGAAAGTCATTGAAGGCAATATGGCAGCCCTGGGCCAATAACATTGCAGATTCTTCTTTGGGTGCTTTCAAGAATCTCTAGATATATAGCAGGAGCACCAGTCCAGATGTGGCAAAAGTTATTCAAAACAAGGACGAATGGTAAACTTCTAAATATCTAAGATAGGTTCTGGCGAGAAAAATATCCCGCACATTACAGGGAACCAACAGTAGACCTATCAATTGATTCAATATAATCTTTCCACTTCATGTCAGCAGAAAACGTTATCCCGAGAAGGTTGAATGAATCACTCCCCTGGGGGTTAGCATCAGCCATACTGAAAGGATGGTAAAAAGGGTTCTCTCAGATGATTAAAGGAAAGCAGTTTCGTTTTGGAGGCGTTAAAGTTCACAAGCTATTCTCAGTCGGCGTACCAAAAAGAAAAGCTCATCAGAACACTTGCCATGAAAATACAATAGAAAAAGCAAACAGAAAGTGGGGAGGCCTGGGTAAGACAATAAACTACATTAAACAACAAAACCTTTGATCAAAAGGTTTTAAGGAACGTGGAACTACCTCTTAATTGCTGGTGTTCCCAGATCCACCCTGACCCTGAGTGGTAGCACCTGTCAGGGTCCCAGCAAATTGTTAACCGCCCTAAAAGAGGTCAAAACTCTATAAAAGTGATCAGCCATCTGTTTTAAAAACAGTTCCTAGATGGCGCTGCGTGAGATGAACGAAAATGACAGAATTTTTTTTAAAGGTCATTAAATAAACTAATTCCGAAAGACGCCCAAAGCATAATAAGTGTATATATCAAAATTACAATATATCGCACATTTAGTGCAGGTGTTAACAAATCAGCGCTTAATGTAATGAAATAGAGGAAAGAATATATATATATATATATATATATTATCTCACACCCCTAGCACGATTCTGAGTTTCATGCACGAAGCAATCTTTGGGTACAGAGTTCAAAATGACTGCTTTACGGTTTGAATCAAAATATAGCCAGATATATTTTGATTCAAACCGTAAAACATTCATTTTGAACTCTGAACTTTATTAATATATATATATATATATATATATATATATATATATATATATATATATATACAGTAACCCGGATATAAAGAGAAACCCGGGTATAAGAGAGATTTTCTCTGGTCCCAAATTAGAGCCTGTGTTAATGTATATAAAATAGACCAAATCCGGATATAAGAGAAACCCGGATATAAGAGACTTCTTCTCCGGTCCCGACAACACTCTTATATCCGGGTTACACTGTATATATATATATTATAAATATAATTCCTTCGCTACATAAAAGTTCTCATGTTTCAAAAACAAGAGCCAAAAACTTCAATATAATTATTAAAACTAAACTGTATTAAAGTATCAAGCTCTGTTTCATCCTCAAACGAAATTTTTGGAACCCCAAAAATTATGTAACGATGGAATCATATTTTTTTAAAAAATAATTATAATTAAAACTTTGGCTCTACTTTTGTATTGAGCACTGTTTTTTTAAAAATAAAAACAAAAATATTAAAGAAGTTCGGATTATTTACCTAACGTGTTCTTTCTTGTTTTTCTATATATCTACACACACACACACACACATATGAATATAATATATATATATATATATATATATATATATATATATATAGCCAAGTGTAAAAGAACGGAAACAATATTAATTCAAACGTTCATAACATTAATTTAAAAAATACCTTAAATTAAAGCTATAGTTGTTTATTATAAGCTGTTACAGTGGAATATGCAAGTTACCACGACAAAAATGTATATTTGCTTCGACGTCTAAAGACGTCTCATCAGGTGGTTAACGATGGTAGATTGTTAACCACTCTTTAGTCGTTGAAACAAATATGCATTTTTGTTGTGGTAACTTGCATGTTCTAGTGTAACAATTTATAAAGTACACACACCCACACACATACACACCCACACACATACACACCGCACACACACACATATATAAATCACTATTCGTTATCTATCTATCTCATTATATTCATATCTATCTATCTATCTATCTATCTATCTATCTATCTAACACAGTATCTAATATAAAATAATTAAATAAAACAAATTAAATGTACAATTAATTATTTAATTTAAAATAAACAAATAAATAATGGACAAGTTTGACTTTTACAAATATTTATATTTTCTGGATTACGTGATCGTTGGGGGATTTGCAATAAAGTGCGAAATTACAGACACACATACACAGATATATATGTGAGTGTGTGTGTGTGTGCGCGCGCGCGCACGCGCATGCGCGCGTATTGGATGTCGTCCGGAAAGCACGTTTCTCATTCACTAATTCTCTCTTTTACTTTATAAGCCACCGACCAAGGTCTGAATTGTTCCCTTTTGATGAATCTCTTTCATAAAAAACGAATAATTCTGGTCATAAAATAGACATGAAAATTTCGCTTATGTTAAACTTCTCAATTATAAATGAAAGAAAGATCATAAAAGTCTGGGACGCAAACGATGTAGTAAACAGGCTCTTTTGCACAGGTCGACCATTTCAGAAAAATGACATACACGCCACACGCTCATGCGCACACGCACACACACACACACACATACATACATCTCTCTCTCTCTCTCTCTCTCTCTCTCTCTCTCTCTCTCTCTCTCTCTCTCACTCAACAAACATTCACACGCATATAAATTTATTTGGTAAATATAAAACACAGTTTGGAAATCTGCTCTCATATGTTTCGGCGATGAACCGGCGTCATCAGAAAAAGAATTTAATTTAGGTCCCTTCACTTTTTCGCGGGAAAACAGATAGCGTAATGAAAAAGGCTACAAACTAAACGAAAATAAATTTTTATCGTCAAAATGTTTATGTTATTAAGATGAAAGACCAAAGTATTTTTTAATTATTTTTGGAATTTTTTTAATCCTTTCTAACACGTTCAAAATTTTGGTTAAAGTCTTCTTTTGTTTACGTCATCGCGGTGGCAGAAAATAACATTGTTTTTTGGTTTTTTTTTTGTTTTTTTGTTTTTTTTTTTGGCGTTTTTTTTCGTTATAAACACATTGATTTGGAAATTCTTGTAAAAACCAATTGTCCGATTTTAATGAAATTTTCAGGACTTATTCACAAATGAATGAAATTATTTTTGAAATGTTTATTTTTTAGAAAATTTTGATAAATTTTTTTTGCACAAAACCTTTCTATTTCCTGAATTTTTTTTTTTTTTTTTTTTGTTAAAAGTAGAAATCCTTGGAGATTGTAAATCATCTACTTTTTTTTCAAATTTGAGCTAACTGAAAATCTGCTCTGAATTGAAAAATAATGAATCCAATAAAACTATGACATTATTTAATTAGAAAAGCTTTTAATTGCATTTGTAAATAAGTTATATTAAGGACATTATTGTCTTAAGAAATAAATTTTTTCTGATGAATAATGAAGTTTTACAAGAATTTTTCATTTTTTTTTAATTTTAATTATAATAATTTATAATAGTTTAAAATTGTGTAAAATTCTGTATTGGGCTATTTCCTGGATGTGATATAGTAATTAAGTGGAAACAAAATTTACAGATTCAAAATTAAAAATATTAATCAACTTAGTTGTACTATTCCATTTTTAAAATAAATTTTTATTTTGTATTTTTTTACTCAATACGTTCATTATTTTCATGTACGGTAGATTGAAATTGCCATTATTATGATCTAAAAGTTTTGTCCGTTTATTCCGCTTCAGTTACGTTTCAACAGGTTTTCAAAATTTTTATCCAGTTTTAAAAGTTTAAATCTTAAACTTAGTTTTACTTTTATCAATTACTATTTCGCTAAATATTTTTATTTTATGTATTTACATTAGTGTGGGACATACTTCAATTGAGTAATCATGGTATTTCATTTGGTATTAAATTATAAAATTAATTGATGAAAATTTTATAGTATTTTAAATTTTTTTTATTTTTGCATCTTCGAAAGGTAAATAAAAGTCAATAAAATATTAAATAATTGCGGAAAATATGTTCATTTGTAAAAATTACTAGGCAATTAAAAACCAAAAATAGGCGTTCACTTAGATATCTGACAATTGGGTCATCCATAGTAGCTGTCATCGCTTCGTCTGTCAGCAGTCCATCAAACGTTGGATCAGATGAACAGGACCAATCGTTAATAATTGGTTGTATATTATTTTTTATGTTACAAGTAAATAATATTTATTTCAAATCAGATTAATTTAACTTTACATTTTCTAATTTTACTAAAATAACGTGTCAGAAATATATATTTACTTTTTGAAAGAATTTTAAAATAGAAAAACTTGTTTTGTTTACAAATTTCTTAAAATTAAGAAAATGGCCGCTTTTAAGAAAATTTTAAGTAATCAAAATTAAATTTGACATTCCAATCTATATAATTTCTACCTGAAATACTCCAGAATATTTTACTTAATGGAAATAATAAATTTAATTATTAAACTTTCAATTAAAGCTAAAATGAAATCTTCAAGAAAGATTTTTCATTTTTAAAATTTAATTTTAAATCTTAGGTATCGAAAATTTATGCTGAAAAAGCGAA